TTGACCTTGTTCTCCATTCCCAGACCTTGAAACCTTGGCTGTCAGGCTTAGGCTACCTCCCTGGAACCAGGATACCTGGCCCTTTCAACCTCTTTCTCCCAGAGCTAATTCTCTTCCATAAACACTGGTGTCTGGGTCCCTAGCCTCAGCCTCCCTTTACAGACATGACCCATGAAATCAGTTCCATAGTCCCAGTTCCATAGCCCCACCTGTATTGCTGGGGGGATATGAGGCCCCCTATTGGACCCAGCTTCCCATTCTCAGATCTCTCTCTCCTGAGCTTCGTCAACTTCTCTTCCGGGGGGTGGGGCCAGGTAAGCTGGAGCACAGGTGAGAGGGGTGGTGGCCTTGGGAGGAGTTGGGTGGCCCTCTTGTGGTTCAGTCCAACGCAGACATCTCCAGACTCAGAGTCCGTCCCATAGACACCAATGCAGCTGGACAAAGCCATGGTCTCAGGCTGTGGGAGGCTTTGGTAGACAATTCACATTTAATCATTAATGCCCCAAGTGCTCATCCCTGAAGCAAGCCAGAAGACAGAGAAGCTCATCCCTGCCCTTGGGGAGAAGGTGCCCATCTTCTTTCAAATAGTTAAATACCAACAGGGGTCAATCATTAAACACCAAATGACTATAAAAATGCTTTCAAAAGTCTAGCTAGTTTGGGCAGTCTCTGCAGATAATTCCCAAATTTAAATCTCTAACCCTTATCTTTCCCTAGATGCAGCCCTATATGTTTACTGGATATCTATACCTGGAATTCACATCAGCACCTCAAATTTAATATCTCCAAAATTGGACTAATCATCTTAACCTTACCCCCAAACCTGTCCTTTCCTCTGACTCTATTTCTTTTTTTTTTATTAATTTCTTTTGATTTCTCAACAATCATTTCCATAAGCTTTTGAGTTTTAAATTCCCACCCCCTCCTCACCTTCCTTCCCAAGATAGTGTGCAATCTGATATAGGCTATACATATATATTCCTGTTAAACATATTTTCACCTTAGTCATGAGAAGGAACCACAAGAAAGAGGAAACAAAACAAAACAGAAGAAAAAAAAAGCAAACAGTATGCTTCAAGCTGTATTCAGACTCCATAGTACTTTCTCTGGATGTGGATAGCATTTTCCATCATGAGACTTTTGGAGATGTCTGAGATCCTTGCATTGCTGAGAAGGGCTAAGTCTATCAAAGTTTGATTCTCCTATTTCTATCCAATGGTATCACCATCCTCCTAGTCATCCAAGCTTGAAATTTCATCTTTGTTTTTCACTCTACCTCTTTTCTCCTCTCCCCCCTCCAAAAAACCAAACCAAACCAAAACAAAACACCTCAACACCACTAAAGGTAGTTACAGTTGAAAGAGTGCAGACTCTGGAGTGAGAGGACGTGAGTTCAAATCCCACCTCAGTGATCTAGGCCAAGTCACACCTGGGCCTCAATTTCTTTTTTTTTTTTCCTCAATTTCCTTGTCTATAAAACAAGGTGGTTGTACTGAGTATCTCTGGAGGTCCCTGCCAGTTCATCTATGATTCTGCCACAATAATGCTTATTCCATTATCTGAGGTCAAGTCCTCATCACCAGTCTACTGGACTACAGTGATAGTTTCCTAACTGGTGTCTCTGCCTCTAGTCTTTGACCTCTTCAATCTCTTTTCTGCTGTTACGTGTCAGTCACCTTCCTTATACAAAGATCTAAACAGGCCACTTCCCTGCTCAAATACTTCAAGATCGTTCCCCATTGCTTACCAAATAAATTCCAAACTCTTCCACCCTGACATTCAGGGTTCTTCAGAGTCTAGCTCCAATCTCCCTTTCTATCCTCATTTCGGGCTGCCTCTGGGAGCCCAGCTCTGCCAAAGCAGACAGCTCTTTTTTTCCAACCTGAGCACCATCATTCACTTCCTGCCACTCTAAACCTAACCCCACCCCCACTCCCTTCCTGAAAGTCCTTGTTTCCTCTTCTCAGCCAGTCCAATTTTGACCGTCATTTCATGCCTGGTTCAAGTCCTAATCTTCTCTAGAAAGGCCTTTCTGACACTTACACTGACCTCTTTCTCTTCTGAACCCCTGTGGCCCTTAATGACTCTGTCTCTCTTTCCTTCTCTCTTCATCTCTCCCTCCTTTTTCTCTCTCTGTCTTTCTGTCTGTCTCTGTCTCTCCCTCCCTGTCTCTTTTTCTCCTCTCTTTTTCTTTCCTATTTTTCCCATCTCTCTTTCCTTTTCCTCTCCACGCTATTTTTCTCTCTCTCGTTTTGTTCTTTGTCTCAGTCTTGCTTTTTGTAGCCTCTTGTTTGGGCATCTTAGAATCTTCTCACCATCAAGAGAAGAAATTTTAGAATCAAACAATTTAAATGTGAGGTGTGTTTTGTGCCTGGGAAATCAGCTAAACAAGCAAAATTGACCAGACCCCATACTGCCTGAGTTGTGAGGGGGAAAGGCACCTCACAATTACATAATTCCCTTTGTCTGGGAGGTAGCCTTTCTGTTGGGGAAAAGGAGACTGGTTCTGATTTTAACACAGCCACTAAGTCAGAGTATAACCAGCCTTGGACAGATCACTTCTTTTCTGAGTCTGCTTCCTCCTCGGCAAAACAATGGGTTGGATTAGATTATATCTAAGGCACCTCTGATATTTTAAAGGCCCCTTCCAGGTCTAACATTCTAGGATTAATTATCCCTAATTAATTCATGGGAATAGGGCAGAGGTTATTATAGAGGAGTTAACTGAGACCTTTTAGAGAGGCAGTGATTTGGCCATGGGCATATTGTGGCAGAGCTAGACTCCAACCCAGGTCCCCCATTTCCCTTCCAGCACTGCCCAATGCATCCAACTGCCTTAGTAAATATACTTTGGAAGATTAGCAGGAAGAGATGCTCTAGAACTTTGAAAGATGGCAAATATGGTCAGTTTGTGAGTCCCTGACTCCTGACCTGTGTATGTAATAATTTTCAGTGGGGAAAAAAATTCAATCCTAGTGTCTGCACTAATTACAATGAATGGAAAGCTATTTAAATTCCTTTTTTTTTTAAAGGATCTGAGTATTTAATTTATTAAGGAGCTGAGGTCTAAGGTAAAGTGCAGGTACCGAGGGAAGACCATACTTGGAATTTTATCAGTAAAGGAGAAGAGAGAATGAGAAAGATGGTAGCTGAACGGAGTCAGTCAGTCTCATCCTTTCTGCCCTTCCCTCTTTCACTCCTTTTAACTTCTTCCCTGACCAACTCCATCCCCATTAATAGTCATGGTTTGGCCCTTCCCCCCACCTCTTTCCCAGAAACACTCAGCTTGTCAATATTGATCTGGAGTGGTCAACTGGCAGGAGGAGCTGGGGACCCACTTCTTGAGGAGAGCTTAGGGAATGCGATACCTGGAGGAAATTGGGAGTTGGTGGACAGGCTATCTGGGAGAGAGGGGTGATGTTGAGGATAAAAATCTCTCTCCCCTCTTCTCTTTCTCTCTTCCCCTTTCTTCCTCTCCACTCCTCTCCCCTCTCCTTTTCCCCCTCTACTCCCTGTTCTTGTAAAGCAGAACTAAGCCCTGGGTTGGGGATTCCCACTGAGAGTGGGCAGGAAAGCTGAGGAAGGGAAACTGAGAGGACTCAAGAAATCTGGGCCAATCAGGGGTAGGGAGAGATTGGTGGTTTAGGGAGGGGTATAGCTATTGAGGGCACCCAGGGCAGAGAAGAGATTGAGGGTAGAGATGTCCCCTGAAGGAAGAGCAGAGCCACACCCAGTGTCCTAACTGAGGTAACTAGCTCTCAGAAAAACACTTACTTAGCCTGCTGAGTCTCTTGGTAACAGAAGAGCCAGACTTCCTACTGGTTGGGGGATGGGTAGCAGCCTAGTGTCTGTCTGGTGGTCAGAAAATATATTTGCAGTCCAGGCTAGGCAGCTACTGGACTTGTGTGATCAGCCCTGGGCAAGTCACTTTCCCTTTCTGGGCCTCAGTTTCCATCTTTGTAAAAATGAGGATAAGCTTTGTCCTGCCTACCTGCCTCATAGGACATCTATGAGACAAAAGCTGCAAGACTCTTATGATTTACATATGGTGGGTACTAATAGTACTAATAGACAGTCATCCAGATGGGCAGATTCAATTCTGCTCAGTTTGAAAACCCGAATTATTAGTCCTGTCTCTGCCACGAGTTCTGTATCTGTTTTCTTCTGTAAAATGGGGAGGTGGGGCATGGATCATATGATTTTTAAGAGGCCATCTAGCTTTCACAATTCCGTAAGTGGGACTGCATGTGTGTTTGTGCACATGAGGTCCTGTGGTGGGTGCTGAGAGGCAGTCAGAGCTCAGTAGGACTTGGCCTCTTAAGAAAGCTCACAGCCAGGCTGAGGGGAGGGGTTGGAACATATACTTGTGTAACTATGCCATCCCTGTCCCAGCCCCCATTGATACAGGCCTCTCTCTGTACCTTGGGATAGGGGTTGCAAGTAGGGCAACATAGGACACTCAAGTAGGAGAGGCAGCCTCAAATAACAATTACCCCTCAGCAGGGGGGCAGAGATACTATCAGAGGCTTGGTAGAGAGAATTCCTCTTAATTTGTTTATTGAGTATGTCTTGGGGAGAAACTGTGGGTGGGATCTGCCTCAGTAAGAGAGAACAGAATTCTCCCCTCAGCCCAGCCCTGGGCCTTCCCTGGCTCTTGTATATATGCCTGTCATATCCATAACCGTGACTTTATTTCTGTGGTCCCTTCATTCAGCTTCTTTTTGTCTCCCTGTCCCTCTGTCTCTGCCCTACTTCTCTCTAAGCCTTCTCATTGTCTCTGTATTCAATTTCAGTTTCTCTAACTGTTGTTTCCCCCTCACCCCTTCCTCAATTCCACCCAACAAACTCAAGAGGCATCTTGACCTGACTAATTATGATATGAGGTAGAATGTAACAAGGTCCAGGCAAAGAGCTAAAAGAGCTGTGAGATATTTGAAAAGGAAGTGAGTACTTTCAGATGAGTTTGAGGCTAGAGGCTGGAGGGAATGGCAGAGAAGGTTTCCTGGTGGGGGCAGCACTTGGGGGAGGTCTTGAAGGAAGCAAGGAAAGGATTTCAGTAGCTGGATCAGAGTGGAAAGTACATTTTCTCTTTCTTTCTTTAAGTGCTCCACTGTCACTCTGCATGTCTCATTTGAACTGTATGGACAGTTTCAGATGGATGCTGCCAGACCACAGCCAGAGAAGCAGATGTAGAAAATGAAGGGGCAGCAGGGCTAAGAGAAGCTCAAGATGTGTCCTGGAGAATGAACACTCTGAAGGAGGTACCTTTATGGGAGCTCTAAGATAGGGAAACCAAAGGGGGAAAAGAGATGAATGGTTCTCTTCCACTTTTTTCTGGATGCTCCATTTCCGGGAGTGGGTGGGTGGGGTGTATGAGGGGCAATGCTGGTACTAGGGAATGCTGCTCCCCTCTTAGGACCACCTCCTCTCTTAGTATCCATTCCCTAGGCTCTGTCTCTACCTCACCCTCCCTGGGCTCTCTGTCTTCCAGTACCTGACATCTTCTGACATTCTCCCAGGCTAATGGTCGCCCCTCCCTCCCCCCCTCCAGGAGCCTAGCTTTTCCAGCCCCTGATTCCTTCATCTCCTCCCCCTTCTCTCCAAGCGCTTACCAGCACCCCAAGATCCCTTCCAAATCCAAGATTCTGTGACCGAGCCCTCCTGATTCCTAGTGCCTTTCCCAACTTCACCTTATTTGCTCTTTCTCAGGTATTGCAGCCCCTATTCCTCCAGTTTTCTTTCCCAGCCCTGGCCCCCAGCCCTGTACCCTCTTCAGCTATGCCTCTTCCTCCAAGGACTCAGGCTGTCGCCCATTTATTGTCTCCTTCACTCCTAATCTCTCCCCCCAATCCCCAACCAGGTTCAGCCTCAGCCTCACCTTTGAAGTTCCCAAATCACCGCTTACCACCAGCGAGGGAAATTGGGTCATTTCCCCCTCACTCCACCCCTGGGCGATGCTGTAACCCTCCTTGCCTCACCCCGCCCCGTCCTCCAGTGCATTGCCAGTCCGTGGACCCCCTAGGTGTCGAAGGCTTTTCGGACCCCTCAGCCTTGATCCTTTGGTGTCCCAGAGACATCATCAAGGTGGTACTCGAGTCAATCTCAGCTGCCTCCCCAGAAGGTCAGGGCAGGGCTTGGCTGGGCTGGGTGGCTCCCTCTCTGACAACCCCTCTTCTGCTTCTAGGCTGCCCTCCTCTCCTCCATCACTCTTTCCCTTCCTCTAACTCCAAGAGCCTGGCCTGAGCCAGGGTCATGTGGCTGCGCGAGCGCCCTGTCCTTACCCTGCTCCTGCTCCTACTACTGCTGCGGTTCCCATCCCAAGCCCCAGCCCGAGCGCCGGAGCCCTCCGCCCAGGATGTCAGACTGAGCGTGGTGAGTGCCAACCGGAGGACAGGGCACCAGATTCGGGGGCTGGGGAGAGGGAAACTGAGCCCAGTTCACCGGGGTCTGGGCTGAGGGCAAATGGAAACTGAGGTCCTTAGACGTGAGGCGCTGGGAGACGGCGGGATGGTGGTGGTCGTGTGGAATGCGCAGAGGAAAGCACAGGTGCTTTCTACAAATCATAGAGGAAAAGAGTCCCGGAGGGTGGCCGAGGTCCTGAAGTGTACAGAAGTGAGTTGGAAGCTAGGACCTTGGGGTGTGGAAGGGCAGAGATGAGCCAGGGCTCGGGACATCTGGGTCAGTGAGGAGGGGAGAGAGAGAAGCTGAGATTCTGGACGCCAGGGTCAGGGATGGAAGAGACAGGCCTGGGGCCCAGTGTTCAGGGGGATATTAGAAGTGAGCTGAAATCTAGGACCTCGGGGAGCAGAGAGATAAAAGCTAGGACCTGGAGGGGAGAGAGGGAAGTTGGGGGCCCCGGGACGTCTCGATCCAGGAAGAAGAAGAGGGAAGCTGGAGCCCTCGACTCTGGAGTCACGGAAGGGAAAGAGTGAAGTTTGGGGAGCCAGGTGGAGAGAGGTGGACTGGAATTCCTTGAGTCTGGAGGTATCTGAGGTTGGCACAGTATTCCAGGAGATAAGAGGGGTAAGAAAGGATATGGGGACCACGGTCGGGGAAGTGAGGGCTGGAATCAGCAGACAAGCGTTGAGAAAGCAGGAAGCTTAGGATGGCATATCAGGATCCTCGGGGGCTCTCATCCTTGCTTGGAGTTAGGTGAGGGTGAGGGAGATGTGGGGGTTATCCTCAATTCTATCCTTGCTGATTGTCGAGACCCGAGATCGAGAGTCTCCCAATTACTGGCTTGGTATTGCAAGACTCTAAGAGGCCCAAGGTTCTCTAAGCACCGCCTCTCCTTGCCCCACCCCGACCCTCCCTTCCTCATTAACCCTTTCTTTTTCGTGGTCCAGGACTGGCTCACTCGCTATGGCTACCTGCCTCCACCCGACCCTGCTCAGGCTCAGCTGCAGAGCCCAGAGCAGCTCCGGGACGCAATCAAAATCATGCAGAGGTTTGCTGGGTTGAAGGAGACCGGCCTCATGGGTAATGAATGGTCATCCCCTTACCCTCAAACACTCCTTGCTCCACTCCTTCCCCAGCCCACTCTCCCATGGGAAGGAAATAGAGACTATCCAAGGGGAAAGGGAACACGCATTTATTAAGTGTCTACTGTGTACCAGGCCCTGCTGGGCTAAATGTTTTCTAAATAATGTCTTATTTAATCCTCACAACAACTCTGTGAGGTGGGTACTATTATTATCTCTGTTTTACATTTGAGGAAACTGAGGCAGGCAAGGAGAGGTTAAGTGATTTGATTTTGGTCACACAGCTAGTAAATGTCCCAGGATATCCCTACCCTAAAGCTAGAGGTCTTGTTCAAGTTATATTCAACAGATCCTATTCTCCCATCTCAAAGCAGGCTGTCACCTCTTACCTCCCTCTGAGTCTAGCCCTCCTGCTCTTTTCAGGTTTTCCTTGTAGCTTCCAGCCATCTTCAAATCTGGTGCCTGGTTATAAGGGAAAACAGAAGGAGCAGAAGGTCTATCATGCTCCAAGTTCCTTTGTTCTTTCTGGGCCCCAAATCTCAGGGCTACTGCAAAGTTCCAAGGCCCTCAGGGACTCAGGGGGCAGGGATAGGACTGGAGAATCCAAAACAGAGGGAGCTCTTTCTAGGTGACTGGTGTTATTCCTGGTTGAGAGGTCCGCAGAATGGGGTGGAAGGGCAGCCTTCAGAACAGACTAGGAGTTGGGGGGCAGGAAGGGAAGGATAACACTGATCTGGCCAGTCTTGTTCCAATACCACCTGCCACTCCCTCCTACTGTCTACCCTTTTGCTCCCAGACAGTTGTCAGTACTGATATTAGAGGTCCCAATTCCAGGGGCTGCTTTCCCTCTCTATGCTCTCTCATTACAAGCTCCTAGGGGAAGAGCTAAGCACCTGTCCATCCCTTTGACCTTTCATGTCCCATCTCCTTTCCAGATGAGGCCACGTTGGCCACCATGAAGAAGCCACGATGTTCTCTGCCTGATGTTCTGGGAGTGGCTGGGTTGGTAAGAAGGAGGAGGTATGCCCTTACAGGCAGCTTCTGGAAGAAGAAGCAGCTGTTCTGGAGGTGGGTTCTATTCCTTGATTTCTCATCAGCTAACTAGTCTGTTTTAGCCATCATGTACCCCCTGAAGGGCTCTATAGTGCCTGTGAGTTGGCATTTAATTTACCTTTCTTCTTCCCCAAAGCCTTACTATTAGATTCAATGAGTTCAGTGCCTGGCTCAAAATCTTTCCTTCCTTCCCAATTCCTGTCCTCCCCAGTTCCTGTCCTCATACTGGGGCACTTCAGCATACATATTGATATTCCCTCAAATTCCCTATCCGTGCCTCATCTGATTTATTTCCCATGAACTACTTCTCTACCCTGAGTCACACACAAAAATAGTCGTATCCTTGATTTTGCCATCAGTCACACATGCATCGCTTCCATGTCCATGAACACTGGAACTGCCTTATCTGATCAAAGTCTTTGGTATTCTGCCTATCCCTGTGCCTTCCAAAACCAAACCCTGTTTGTCAGTATCATGACCTTCAACTCCCTGATCCCTCAGTCCTTTCTCAGACACCAGTCACCACCACCCTGCACCAGCTACACTCTCATCCTTTCCCCATCTTTCCCTCTTGGTGACCTAGTTCAACACTACACTGTCATCTCCACTTCGGTCCCTTGCCTTCATTGTATTGTTGGTCTTGCCCCGACAAACAAGCACGGTGGTGCTGAGCTAAGGTCAAGAAAATCACAAAACAAGGGCAGCTAGGTGTCGCAGCAGATAGAGCACCGGCCCTGAAGTCAGGAGGACCTGAGTTCAAATTCGGCCTCAGACCAGACACTTGACACTCACTAGCTGTGTGACCCTGGGCAAGTCACTTAACCCCAGCTGCCTCACCAAAAAAATAAATTAATTAAATTACATTTAAAAGAATCACAAAACTTTGCTGAATCCACTACCTGTTTGTGTTAGATAACCTCAGCTGGGTCATCACTGCTGCAGGGCAATCCTTTTATGCTTCCCTAATTAACTCATTATCCCATTTACCACATCTTTACCAAACTTTTTCATTCCTTTTCAAAACTCCCATGGCTCCTTCTTCCCCTTCCTATTCAGCTGAGAACTTATTTGCCAGAGATATCTCTTTCCTTCCTTCCTCCTCATCTCATAGCACCCAGATGCCTTCTACCACTATCTTCTCCTCCTCCTTCACCCCTGTCTCATATGAAGAGTTGGCCTTTTTGCTAGCCAAGGCTAACCCCCCTTTGTGCACAAGTGATTCCCTTCTATCCTGTCATCTCCAAGATGATTGCCTCATCTATCACCCTCACTTTCTCTCTTATCTTCAATTTCTCCTTGTCTACTTATGTCTCCACCATCTTCAAAAAACCCCTCATTTGATCCATCTGTCCCTGCAAACTCTTGTTCCATATCCCTCCTGACTCCTGTGGCTTAACTCCTTGTGAAGGTTGTCTATAATGAACATCTCCACTTCTCTTCTTACTCTCTTTTTGACTCTCTTTGGTCTGGCTCCAACCTCATCATTCAACTGAAACCACTCTTTCCAAAGTTACTTATGATCTTTCAATTGCCAAGTCTAATGGCCTTTTATCAGTTCTCATCCTTCTTGACCTCTTGACACCTTTGACACTGTTGATCACCCTCTTCTCTTTGATATTCCCTTCTCTCTAGGTTTTCAGGACACTACACTCTCCTGTTTCTCCTCCTAACTTTCTGACCATTCCGCAGATTCCTTTGCTGGAGCATCATCCAGGTCATGCCTGCTAACTTTGGGTGTCTCAGAGGACTCCTTCCTGGGCCCTCTTCTCTTTTTCCTTTCTGCTATTTCACTTGGTGATCTCATCAGCTCCCATGAATTCAAATATCATCTCTATGCTGATGATTCTCAGATTTATTTACCTAGCCCTAACTTGTTTGTTACTGCCTATTAGACATTTTGAACTGGAAGTCCTGTAGACATTTTAAATTCAATATATCCAAAGTTGAACTCATTTTCTTTTCTTTTTTTTTTAAGGCAATTGGGGTTAAGTGACTTGCCCAAGGTCACACAGCTAGTACATGTCAAGTGTTTGGTCTGAGGCTGGATTTGAACTCAGGTCCTCCTGACTTCAGGGCCAGTGCCCTATCCACTGCGCCACCTAGCTGCCCCCAACTCATTATCTTTCACCTCAAACCCTCTCCCCTTCCAAACTTCCCTATCACTGTTGAGGGTATAAGTCTTTCCCTACTCCAGTTCATCATCCGTTTTGTTCTCAGCGTGATCTTGCTAAAGCTTAGGTTTGATCGCGGCCCTCTCCTCTGCGATAAACTTCAGTGGGTGCCTGCCCCCTCTCTGGTTGGTTCAAAGACCTTCATTACCTTCCTCCTCCCACCCATCTTCTTACACCTTTTATCCAACCACATACTCTTCAATTCAACATCTTTGTTCCTAAAACAATACCTTCTATCTCCCAACTCTGAGCATTTTCACTGGCTGTCCCCCATGCATGGAATTTTCTCTTTCCTCATATCTGCTTCTTAGATTGCCTGGCTTCCTTCAAGTCCCAGCTAAACTCCCACCTTCTTCAGGAAACTTTTCCCAAACCCTCTTAATTCTAGTGCCTTCCCACTGTAGATTATTTCCTATTTATCCTATATATAGCTTATTTGTAAGTTATCTCCTCTATTAGACTCTGAAATCCTTAAGGTCAAGGACTGTCTTTTATCTTTCTATGTCTCTCCTGTGATTAGTAAAGTGCCTAGCACATAGTAGGTGCTTAATAAATGTTTATTGAGGGGCTGACTGACTGGACTTATCTATCGCTCCTCCGAGTCACCTGCACGTCACTGTTTTAATTGGCTGCCATACACTCCTCCTCTTAACACTGGACTCTCTTCTCTGGACACCAGGGTTCAATCCTTCCCACGGGGCTCTGCCCTCAGCCAAGAGACTATTCGAGACCTGATGCACTATGCCCTGACTGCCTGGGGAACTGAGATGGGGATGACATTCCAGGAGGCTGAGCCCAGGGTAGGAACAGAGCCGGAACTCCTCATCAACTTCGCTCGGGCCTATCACAAGGACAGCTACCCCTTTGATGGGCCTGGGGGCACGTTAGCCCATGCCTTCTTCCCTGGGGACCACCCAATCTCTGGGGATACCCACTTTGATGATGAGGAAGTCTGGACCTTCGGGGAAAGCGGTATGATCTCCCTGGACTCTCCCTCTTTATTCCTCAGACAACCCCTGTTCCATAGAGATCAATCCCCTCTGGAGAGACGTTTCCCTTCCCTGAGGACCTCATTCTCTATTACATTAAACAAGAGTTTGCTGAGTTCCTGCTCCTCATACAATTCTGCATGGGCCCCCAGGGTGGAAACTGAGAAGGAAAGAGAGGTGGCTAATTTATAAGAAGCAGAAGACAAGGCCTCTGGTTTCAGAGGAGTTCAGCTGGGTTGGGGAGATATAGCATGCACAAGAAACAATGAGAGAACAGCAAAAGACTGTGTGTGTGACTGGGTTAAATTCTAACGATTGTTCCTCTGATGCACCTCCCTAGGCTGGGATGATCAGAAAGGCTTTCCAGAAGAGGTAGGACCTGAGTTGGATCTTGAAGGATAAGGAGGATATGGAGAAGATGAAAGGAAGGAGGGAGGTGTTCTAGGCAAGGGAAAGATAAGGGGGCCAGGTTGGCTATCACTGTAGCAGTTGAGTAGGGCAGATACTGGGGAGGGTCTTAAATGCCAGTCTGAGGAGTTTAGATTTGAAATCAGAAACAAAGAACTATTTTAAGTTTTGGAACAAAAGAAGCCAAAAAGATTCATCTTGGCCAAGGATACTCTTTTCTGCAAATTATGTTTTTTCTTTGCTGGGCTTCTCCTTTCTTTCTTTTTTTTGGGGGGGGGGGTAGGCAATAGGGTTAAGTGACTTGCCCAAGGTCATACAGCTAGTAAGTGTCAGTGTCTGCGGCCAGATTTGAACTCAGGTCTTCCTGACTCCAGGGCCGGTGCTCTATCCACTGCACCACCTAGCTGACCCTGGGCTTCTCCCTTCTAGAGCCAGCCAGGTGATCACATCAGTCTGCCTTTGCCTAGAGGACTGTAGTTTAGGATCATCATGAGGTAGGGAGAGGGATGGACCAGTCAATTGATCATCAAGCATTTATTAAGTGCCTACTATTGCCAGGTACTGACTTAGGCTATGGGGATGTGAAATACAAAAGAAGTTATTATCACTAGTCTCAAGTAGATTACATTTTGTAAGAGATACCATATAAATATATATAGAATAAATACAAGACAGTTTAGTGGGGAAAGAGGTCAAGAAAAACATTCTAGGCATGGGAGGTAGACAGCCAGTTCTGGGCACAGAGACAGAAGATGGAAGGTAAGGAACTTGGCTAAACTGGGAAGGGGAATAATGTACAACAAAGTTGGGAAGGTAGGTTGGTGACAAATTGTAAAGGGCTTTAAAAGCCAAAGAGAAGAGTTTGTATTTTATCCTAGTGACCATAGGGAGTCGCTGAACTTTATAGAGTAGGGGAGTGACGTGGTCAGTGTTGGCAGCAGTGCAGAGGACAGATTGGACTAAGGTTCCTTTTCTCACCATTTGCTTTCTATCTCCTCCCAACCCATAGACCACGGTGGGACAGACCTGTTTGCTGTGGCTGTCCATGAGTTTGGCCATGCCTTGGGCCTGGCCCATTCCTCTGCCCCTGACTCCATCATGCGGCCTTTCTACCAAGGCCCAGCTGGGGACCCTTTGAAGTACCGGCTTCCACCTGATGACCGAGAAGGGATCCAGCAGCTTTATGGTGAGCCCTGGGATCCTCTATTTTTCTTTTTCCCCGAGCTGGACTAAGGGTTATGAGAACAAAAAAAAAATCAAAATTCCTTCTCTGTTCTCTCCCTTCCCCCTCTCCCCTCATCTCCCTTGTTGGTTCTTAACATTTAATCCTAGAAGAGCAGGTATTATTATCGCCATTTTACTGATGATAAAACTGAAGCTTAGAAATGAGATGTTTTACCTAAGGTCACACAGCTAATAAGCAGCAAAACCAGGACTGGAACCCAGGACTTCTAACTCCCAGCGCATTTGTCTTTTCTATCATTCTCCATCTTGATAATGGGGAAAAGAACCTTCCCTAGACGTAGCTGCCTTTCAGCTTCTCTATTTCACCCCACTTCTAACTCTACCTCCCTCCAGGAAAGGGTCCAAATAGTCCCCACCCAGAGTCAACTCGGAAACCTCTGGCACCTCCACCCCAACCCCCTGGGCAGCCCCCAGACAGGTGAGTATCCCCTTCCTCTCCTGATTGATCCCCAGTTCCTCCCTAGTCCCCTTCATCCTCCTCTCTTTAGCCCCTCTCTCCCCTTCCCCCATTCCCCTCCATCTCTAATGACCCCTCCAGTTCTCTGCCTCACTCTCATCTCTTTTTGACTTCCCACTCCTACATCTCCTCCCAGTCCTTCAGCCCCAGTTCCCGACCGATGTTCTGGTAACTTTGATGCTATCGCCAACATCCGTGGTGAGGTCTTCTTCTTTAAAGGTGAGTGACCTTTGACTCTTGTGAGCCTTGCCCTGAAATGTTGATCCCTTTACCATATCCCTTCTCTTATCCACTGGGACCTCAAGTCTCTATTTTCCTTTGCCTCTGACCCACCCATAGTAATGACTTGTGACTCTTTTAATCCCTTATATTGATGTCCAGCTCAATGCCAAGAGCCTAGTCATATCATGTGTGCCAGATGGAATTTGGCCAAAGAGGGGTAGAAAACTAGTACTCCAATACCTACAGCTTGGTCCACTTTACCCTGGGACCTGGGGGTGGGTGACTTTAGGGGCCATAGGCTGGTGACCCCTCCTGTACTCCAGGACCCTGGTTCTGGCGCCTTCAGCCCTCAGGCCAGTTGGTGTCCCCTCGACCTGCGAACCTGCACCGATTCTGGGAGGGGCTGCCTGAGCACGTGGTGGCCGTGGATGCAGCCTATTCTCGGCCCTCAGACGGACGTATCCTGCTTTTTAGTGGTGAGTGGAATGGAGGATGGAGTGAAGAGATTTGGGGTGGGGGAAGAGAGATGAGTAGGAAGAAGAGAAGAGAGCCACGGGGAGACTGGGAAGAGATGTGGAAAGAAGAGAATTGCAAGGGGGCAAGGAGAACAGAGGAAGAAACCCTGCTGAGAGGGAGAGACAGAGATGGAAAGAGAGAGACACGGAGAACTGGGTGGGGGGTGAGGAAGAAGAGACAGTTGGAGAAATGGACTGGGAGAGCTTCAAAGGGGGAGTCAGAGAAGCGTGGACAAGAACAAGATTAGGACCTCGCTGCTGTGAAGGAAAGGGACGACACTGATGGGGCTTCGTATTTGACTGACTTTATTCTTCCTGATCCTCAGGACACCAGTTCTGGGTGTTTCAGGACCGGCAGCTGGAGGCTGGTTCTCCAAAGTTGCTGACTGAACTGGGGCTTCCCCCTGGGGAAGTTGTGGATGCTGTTTTCTCTTGGCCCCAGAATGGGAAGACATACCTGATTCGAGGTGAACAATACTGGCGTTTTGATGAGACGGTCCACAGTGTTGACCCAGGCTACCCTAAGAGACTGATCCTGTGGGAGGGAGCACCTTCAGCACCTGATGATGTGACTATTGACAACAAAGGTGTGTGTGTGTGTGTGTGTGTGTGTGTTGGGGGTAGGATGTGGGTTGACTTGGTGGAGAAAGTGGAACTGAGCATCAAGATGCCTGGGTTTGGGGAGAAGTGAACTGAGAGTAGAAGGGTCTTCTAAGAAGTACCCTGAGCTTTCCCCTCATTCTCTTTGTACAGGTGACACCTACTTCTTCAAGGGTACTGAGTATTGGCGATTTGCTCCAGGCAGTGTGGTGGCAGAGCCTGGCTCCCCCCACCCCATGGGGCCCAAGTGGTTGGACTGCCCTCCTTCTGCCCCAGGTCCTCCAGCCCCAAGACCTTCCAAGTCTCCCCCCAACTGTCAGTGTGAGATCAACCAGGCAGGGAGTTCAGGACCAAGACTTCCTGGTTTCCTCTTCATCTTCTCTGTGATTCTCTCCCTCTTCTTGGGCACAACCACCTGGCCCTAAGAACTTGGGCCAGTAGCTGTACCCCCCCCAACTTTCCCCTCCTCCTCTCTCTTCCCATAGAGATGAGTCCTGTGTCTGTCCCTCTCTTTTACCGCCATTCCCCAGTACACCGTGGGCTCTGCAAGGCAGGTAGGCAAGTCACTTCCCCTTTCTGGATCTCAGTTTCTCCATTTGAAAAAATGAGGGACTTGGATTTAATGGCCTCTAAAGTCCCTTCTAATTCTAAATCTAGGATCCCATGAATAGATGAGCTCTGGTGTCCTCTGGCTCTCAAGAATTAATAAGAATCTAGGTTTTCCCAAAGCATGACTCACTAGTGCCTAGTTCATGAGTTTAGTTGTCCGTTCCCTGGCCCCTGCTTTCCCTTAGCCCTGGCTTGCACAGTCTATGATTCTGGGCATAGGGGATCAGATTGAGAATCCAGAAGGTCCTCTCTCCGTAGCCTGTGGGGATCTCAGAGGGTCTTAGAGGCTGCCATTCCCAGGAAGAGCAAGCAGACTCCCTATCTGTCTGATCTTCCCTCCTGCAGGCTGCCAAAAGGGGGGGCCCTGTGGCTGGGTGGGGTCCCAAGGATTAGGGAGATATTGAGAGAGGCTGTACAGGTAATTGTACCCCTCTCCCAGTCTTTGGTCCCTGTAATTCTTGACTCAGAGAGAGGCCTGGGCTTTGCCGAGCCCCCAGCTACAAGACTGAAAGGAAAGGAAGGCAGGACTGTCAAGAGCAGTTGATCTGGACCTCCTCCATGAAGGAGTTGGGCTGGGATGCAGATCTTTAAAGCCCAAGGGGAGAGTTTTCTCTCAGCTCCTCTGAAACACCCTGCCCCTCAGCAGTGCTTGAAAAATCTTCTAAGTCCCAGTAGTCAATCCATCAAGATGCCCTGGTCTCCGTCTGGTTTCTTGAAGCGCTCAGGGAGCAAGGAGGAGCTAGGAATACTCCCCTCAGACTTTGAACCCCACCTCAGCATTGCTGATTGTCCTCCAGCTTCCTTTGCCTCCTTCTTTCCTTCTCTAGGTTCCCCCTCTCTCCCTAAACCATGGGTTCTTAACCTGGGGCCCACAGATCCTCAGGGGGCCCCCAAAGGGGTCTGCAGATGGATTTTAGGGGTTCTATGAAGTTGAATGGAAAAAAATACATCTTTATTTTTACTAACCTTTGGTTTCCTTTGTGATCCTACGTATTTTATACACTTAAAAACATGATTCCAAGAAGAGGGTTTACCAGACTGCCAAAGGGGTCCATGAAAGTGGTTAAGAATCCCTGGCCTAAGCAGAAAAGCAAAACTGAGATCATAAAGATTATCAAGATGGAAAAAAGCCCTGAATTCTGAGGTAGAAGACAAGCAGTTTGGTCATAGTTCTGCCCATAACTTATTGTGTGACCTTGGAAAAATTCCTTACACTCTCTGGGAACGTTTCATCATCTGGAAAGTGAGAGGACTGGATCTGATGATGACATCAAAGGCCTTACTGCTCTGAAATCTGAAGGCTCAGCAGTTCAAGGCCCATCCCTGGGCCCAGCTCAGGAGGAACCCATCAATCCAGGGGCCTATCAGTCCCCGTGGATGGCTTCAGCCTTCATCCTCTGTACCCTCTGTGCTCCTCAGCTCACAGAGTGTCAGCCTCTGGTGTAAGCGGTCATGGCAGGATAGAGTAAGGGTGTGATGTGGTCTTTGACTCCTCCCTCTCTCCTCTCCCACATGCCCAGTCATTTGACAAACGGTAGTGGTCCTGCCTTCCTAATATCCCTCATATCTGCCCTCATCATCTTGTAATAGCCTTTTTATCAGACATCAAGCCTCCATTCTTTTCCATCTCCAATCTCTTCTTCTCTGAGTACTCTTCCTAATGCACAGCTCTGATCAGATCAAATCAACTTCACTATCTAGCTCCCCATGACCTACAAGATTAAATTCATACTCATTAGCATGTCATTCAAGGGTCTCCACATTCTTCCTCCCATTTACCTTTTTTTCATTCAATTTTATTTTATTTTCAGTTCCAAATTCTTTCTCTCCTTGACCCCTTCTCTCATCCATTCAGAAGGCAAGGAATACAAAACCCATTATAAATATGAAATCATGCAAAACAAATTCTCGCATTAGTCATGTTCTGAAAAAAAGCAAGAAAAAGAAAAAAATGCTCCCATTTAACTTTTTAAATAGTTTAAAAAAGCATATATGTATTGAACTATATACATATAAACTTTATACATATATATAGCATAAGAAGATAGTAACAAAATTGTTCCATTGGTTACTTCTACACTTTTTGTTTTCTATGAATTTTTATTTTTAAAAAATTTTTTCAATTAACAATTATCCCTTCCTTCCTCTTGCTACTCAACCTGCACGAACAAAAGAAAAAGAAAAGAAAACCCTCCTAACAAGTGAGCATAGTTAAGCAAAGCAAATTCTCTCCTTTGCCATGTCCAAAAAATATATGTTTCATTCTGCATTTTGAGTCCATTATCTCTATCAGGGGATACACAGTTATGCTTCATCTTTGATTTTTCTGGAATTTTGATTTGCACTGATAAGAATTCTCAAATCTTTGTTTTTCTTTATGTTTTATTATGTAAATTGTTCTGCTTATATCACTGTAATTACAGTGATTCTTACAGATCTTTTCTGAAATGATCCATTTCATCATTTCTTATGACTTTATAATATTCCATTACATTCATATGCCATAATTTGCTTAACTGTTCCACAGTAGATTGGTGCCTTCTTAGTTTTTGGTTGTTTCCTCCTACAACAAAAGAGCTGCTATAAATATTTTTGTACACATGGGTCCTTTCCCCTCTTTCTTTGATCTCTTTATGGCATAGGTCCAGTAGTGATATCACTGAGTAAAACAGTATGCCCAGTTTAATGAGTTCTTTTGTGTACAGCTCCAAAATGCTTTCCACAATGGTTAGACCAATTTGCACTCCACCAAGAGTGCATTATTGTGTCTATTTTCCCCACAGCTCCTCTGACTTTTGTCATTTTCCTTTGTTGACATCTTTGCTAATCTGATAGATGGGAAGTAGAACCACAGAGTTGCTTTAATTTGCATTTATCTAATTATTAGTGATTCGGAGCATTTTTAATAAGTTTGTTAATATCTTATATATTTTTTACTTTGAAAACTATCTGTTTATATCTTTGACCATTTATCTGTTGGGGAATGGCTCTTGTTTTTATAGATTTGAAACAGTTCCTTTTATTATACACACACATACATATGATGTGAAAACTTGAACTTGCTGCAAAGATTTTTTTCCCGCAGTTATACATTTCCCTTCTCATTTTAACTACATTGGTTTATGTAAAAATTTTAAAAATTCATGTAATCAAAACTGTCCATTTTATCGTCTGTGATCATCTCAATTCCTTTGTTTGGTTATGAACTTATTCATGGATTCAAAAGGTAATTTTTCCTCACTTCTCCAAATTGTTTATGATGTCATTTTTCAAAAAACCTGTCACATATCCTGTTGAGGGCCAGCTCTGATCAGTCCAGCAAAAGGTTAAAGAATTCAAGTTGGAATTTAACTCCTGCCTGTTCTTACTTTCAAGGGCTCACTTAGTCAGCATGTTGGCTTACCACTCTCCTATTCATTAAGGGCTCCTGGAACTGCCTGACTGTGACACAAGAACAGTCTGGCATGAGGGATAACATGTGACAAACTAGGGAGGACTAGTCACATACTTTGAGATAAGAACCTGAGACAGCCCTGAGAATGATTGTCAAGGCCTGTTAATTGACTGTTAATCTCTATCTTGTAACCATTTGTTTAAAATAATGTAATCCTTTTTTCTTGACACTTTTATTGTGTGCTCCTTTGATGTATGTCCTGAAAGCATTTTTTTACCGAGCTCTGAACCTTGAAAGTTATCAGTAACAGTTACAGAATATGCATAATTTTCCCACACAAGGGATCTTTTGTAGCTCTAAACTTTTTCCTATATATGCTGTGACCCTCAGATGAATAAACGGTTCAGTCTTGGCTGACCCGCCTGGCCCATGTTTCTTTAGTTCACGCTCTCCCGTCAGGTGTGATTCTTAGTTGCTGGCAACAATATCCATTTGGAGTTTATCCTGGTATAAAGTATGAGATATTGATCTATACCTAATTTCTGTCAGATTGCTTTCCAGTTTTCCCAAATATCTTTGTCAAATAGTGAATCTTTACCCCAGTAACTGGGGACTTTAGGTTCATCAAACGCTCTGCTATTTCTTGTGTTTTTTTTTTCTTTTTGCTAGGCAATAGTAACCCCATTGTTGTGACTTGCTCAGGGTCACACAGCTATTAAGTGTCAAATGTGTGAATCCGGATTTGAACTCAGATCCTCCTGACTCCAGAGCTGGTGCTCTAGCCACTGTGCCACCTAGCTTTCCCAATGCTTTGCTGTTCTGTTCATTTGCTTCTGTACATAATCTGTTTCACTGATTGACTTCCCTGTTTCTTAACCAGTACCAAATAGTTTTGATGATTATTGCATTGTAATATAATTTGAGATCTGTAGGTTCCCTACTGCTAAGTTCCCTTCTTACCCCATTTTTTTAAATTTCCCTTGAGATTCTTGATCTTTTCTTTCTCAATGAAATTTGTTGTAATTTTTTTTCTAACTCTGTAAAATAATCTTTGGTAGTTTTATTGGTTTGGCAATAAATAAGTAAATTAATTTAGGTAATGTTGCCATTTTATTATATTGCTATGACCTGCTCATGAGCAATTAATATTTCTCCAATTATTTAGGTGTGTCTTTATTTCTATAAGTGTTTTGTAGTTTTATTCATCTAGTTCTTGTGTTTATCTGGGTAGATAGACTCCTAAATAGTTTATACATTTTGCATGTCATTTCTCTTTCTATCTCATCCTGCTGTACTTTGTTGGTAATATACTGGAATGCTAATGATTTAAGTGGATTTGTTTAAATCCTGTAACTCGATGACTTTATTGTTTCAATTAATCTTTAATTGCTTCTTTAGGGTTATCTAAATAGACCACCATATCATGAAAATGATAGTTTTGTTTTCTCTTTGCTTGTGTTCATTCCCTTGATTTATTTTTCTTGACTTACTGCTGTATCTAGTATTTTTAGCACTGTGTTAAATGGGAATGGTGATGATGGACTTCCTTGTTTTACCCCCGGTCTTGTTGGAAAAAAATCTCTAACTTTGCTCCATTATATAATATTCATTCTTAGTTTTAGATAGATACTATTTAGTATATTAAAGAAAGATTCATTTATTCCTATTCTTTCTACTGTTTTTTTTTTTAGCAGAAACAAGTATTAGATTTTGTCAAAAGCCTTTCAGCATATATTGATATAATCATATTTTTTTTATTACTTGTGGTTTGTTATGTTCAGAGTCTTCCTTATATGGAATCAATAATGCGTTCTCGGAATAAATCCAATCTGGTCATAGTGCATAATCTTTTTTTAATATATAGGTGTAGCCTATTTGCCTAAATCTTATTTAATTTTTTTTATATTATTGTTCATTAGGAATATTGATCGGTAGTTTTCTTTTTTCTCTTTGTCTCTCCCTGGCTTAAGTATCAAAGTTGTATTCACAAAATAAAAAAGAGATTGGAAAAGTCCATTCATTTTATGTTTTTCCAAACAATTCATTTAATATTAGAATTAATTGTTCTCTGAATGTTTCATAGAATTCACTTCTGAGTCCATCTGGTACTAGAGTATCTTTTTTAAGGGTTCATTTATGGCTTGTTCATTTTATTTTTTTAAAATATTGAATTTTGAAAAATTTAAAAATATTGAATATTGAATTACTTAAGTAATCTATTTCTTCTGTTAATTTAGGTATTTTAAATTTTTGTAAATGTTTATTTTCTTCTAAATTATCAGTTTTGTTGGCACATAATTGGGCAAAATAGTGTCTAATGGTTTTCTTTATTTCCTCCTCATTTACCATGAATTTTCCTTTTTTAAATTTTTTATATAAACAATTTGATTTTCCTCTGTATTTTTTTTTTAAATCAGATTAGGTAACTTTATTTTCTTAGTTTAAAAACAGTTATACTGTTATTTATCAATTCAATTTTTTTCTTTCAACTTTGTTAATCTTTGATTTTGAGAATTTGTACTTTGTTGTTTAATTAGAGTTTTATTTATTGTTGTTTTAGTTTTTATTTTAG